ACTCACTTTGTACGCCTCGTAACTTTTTTATTTTTTTGAGAACTAACGTTATTATTATAGAACTATCGAGAACAAACAAAGAACTAACGATTGGTATATAGATATAAGCATTTATAGTCAGAAAACTGTGCCCGCTGGAAATTCTATAATTGTGAAGTTGGCATACCCACTTTTTATGCTTCGTAACTTTTTTATTTTTTAAGAACTAACGCAAATATTGGAGAACTATCGAGACCTAACGAAGAACTAACAATTGGTATATAGATATAAGCATTTATAGTCAGAAAACGGTGCCCGCTGGAAATCGTATGGTTGTAAAGTTAGCGTACCCACTTTGTATGCCTCGTAACTTTTTTATTTTTTGAGAACTAACGTAAATATTGGGGAACTATCGAGAACTAACGAAGAACTAACGATTGGTATATAGATATAGGCATTTATAGTCAGAAAACGGTGCCCGCTGGAAATCGTATATAGTTGTGAAGTTAGCGTACCCACTTTGTATGCCTCTTAACTTTTTTATTTTTTGAGAACTAACGTAAATATTGGAGAACTATCGAGAACTAACGAAGAACTAACGATTGGTATATAGATATATGTATTTATGGTAAAAAAAACTGTGCCCGCTGGAAATTCTATAATTGTGAAGTTGGCGTACCCACTTTGTTTGCCTCTTATCTTTTTTATTTTTTGAGAACTACTGTAAATATTGGATAACTATCGAGAACTAACGAAGAACTAACGATTGGTATATAGATATAGGCATTTATGGTAAAAAAACTGTTCCCGCTGGAAATTCTATAATTGTGAAGTTGGCTTATCCACTTTTTATGCTTCGTAACTTTTTTATTTTTTGAGAACTAACGTAAATATTGGAGAACTATCGAGAACTAACGAAGAACTAACGATTGGTGTATAGATATAAGCATTTATAGTCAGAAAATGGTGCCCGCTGGAAATTGTATAGTTGTGAAGTTAGCGTACCCACTTTGTATGCCTCGTAGCTTTTTTATTTTTTGAGAACTAACGTAAATATTGGAGAACTATCGAGAACTAACGAAGAACTAACGATTGGTATATAGATATAGGCATTTATAGTAAAAAAAACTGTGCCCGCTGGAAATTCTATAATTGTGAAGTTGGCGTACCCACTTTGTTTGCCTCTTATCTTTTTTATTTTTTGAGAACTACTGTAAATATTGGAGAACTAACGAAGAACTAACGATTGGTATATAGATATAGGCATTTATAGTAAAAAAACTGTTCCCGCTGGAAATTCTATAATTGTGAAGTTGGCTTACCCACTTTTTATGCTTCGTAACTTTTTTTTTTTTTGAGAACTAACGTAAATATTGGAGAACTATCGAGAACTAACGAAGAACTAACGATTGGTGTATAGATATAAGCATTTATAGTCAGAAAATGGTGCCCGCTGGAAATTGTATAGTTGTGAAGTTAGCGTACCCACTTTGTATGCCTCGTAGCTTTATTATTTTTTGAGAACTAACGTAAATATTGGAGAACTATCGAGAACTAACGAAGAACTAACGATTGGTATATAGATATAGGCATTTATAGTAAAAAAACTGTTCCCGCTGGAAATTGTACAATTGTGAAGTTAGCGTACCCACTTTGTATGCCTCATAACTTTTTTTATTTTTTGAGAACTAACGAAAAAATTTGGGAACTATCGAGGACTAACGAAGAACTAACGATTGATATATAGATGTAAACATTTCTCCTCAGAATACGGCCCGTGCTAGAACCCGGAGGTGTGAAGTTAGCGTACCCACTTATAATCGGCTATAACTTTTTTATTTTTTGAGAACTAACGAAAAAATTTGGGAACTATCGAGAACTAACGATGAACTAACGATTGGTATGATCAAAAGTGGATACGCTAATATGGGTACGCCAACTTCACGGACCTGAGTTGAGAGGCAAATTTACACTATGGTATAGTATTTTATTTTATAAAACCAAGAAGCTTTCAGTGCTTATTAGCATTATGGTAAAAAAGTATTGTTCACAACTTGTCTCAAAAGTTTCACTTTCCCTCGCTATTTTGTCCCATGATGGGTCACTTTTAGGACTAGCAGTGAAATATACCAGGCATATTACCTTAAATTGGGGTAGGGTCCCTAACCCATACATTACATTTTAAACATAGGTTGGGTTTTTATCAAACTACTGTTTATTTTTATCATTTGATCATAAAATACTGATGTGCTTCATAAACAACATCCATATCGGATAATCATTTACATTGAAGTGAGGGTCACCTCATATTTAGTTACAATACAACATCAAATGTAGGAATTTGTTTTAGTTTTTCATACAATTGACAATAAAGTTGTAATTCAGTTGTATCAATTTAAATTACAGAGGGAAGGAACTGTATGTCTGTCCACTTTAGCCTACTACATAATTCGCTTAGATACTTAGATAGTCATTGATGACATCCAAAGAAAGAGCCTGCTTCACCCATCAATGTATAAAACTAACTGGATTGTGCGCAGGCCAATCCAATTGCCAATCCAATTGCAGGCCAATTGTGGAGGCTTATATAGAGTTTTCCGAGCCAATACAGCTGTGTATCGAGGTTGCTGCATGGGCGAATTGAAGGTGGCATGTGGTAAGTTATCTTGTGCGAAACCGTGTCGTCGACAGCACTGCAGCCACCTGATCTTGGGCACACTTGCGCAGTTAAAAATGTAGACTTTTTTTTAACAGCAGGAATCCTTTTGGGAAAAATTAAGGCACGGATACGGTAGGACAACTTAGAGTATATGGTATGCTTCAGAAATGTTTGAACTATTTAAGCGGTTTGAAAATTTAAAAAGTGCCTATTCTCAATCATGCCATGAAAACACTTGCGCTCTTGGCTTTATCACCAACATCCACACAATAAATATTTTGATTAAAAGTTTATTAGAGAAGCATGCATTTAAGTACATATTAACGTACAAGTTTTTTAAGACCACCTGGAATTGTTATTTTCCTGTATAAGATATCGAGGAGGAAATAACAATAATCCAATTGTAAAACAGTTGCATTGGGCTTTAAGAAAACTTATGTTTCGCAATTGTGTCCAGCCATCTGATAAAGGTAATTGCTTATCATTTGACTTTAATTAACAAAACTATGTCATGAGCTTCAACGAATTATCCCAAGTAGTTAGATATAGTGATGAAGCTGATGATGCCAATGATATAGAATGTATGTGATACATGTTAGAAGGCATAGGAAAGTCTTCTTACTATAAAGACAATGTATTATACTTGTGGTTTTGTTATTCCAAAGTTGGATCCTAAATTGAAATGTGAAGAATGCAGTAATCTTTTAGTAACTGGCGATTCAAATCTAAGCCCTTACACTCATTTTACTGATTTTGTATCAAAAGGACAAGTAGTTAGAGTATTAACAAGTCGTAGTATTAATCAGGGCTTTGTCAGATATACTAAAAATTGTTAAGTTTATGTGCAATCAAATTGTTGCATATTCCAAGAATTGGCAGAAATTTGATACTTCAAAAACTATTTTATTAGCATGTAGATCCTTTGCTGGTAACGTTTTTCTTAATCATAAAGGTAATAATGAATTCGGTGAGGAAAGCCATGACGTGAAATTTATAAAATTAATTGGTATTTTGTTTAACAAAATTATATGCCACAGCATTTCTAAGCGCAAAACAGCAGAAGCTGCTCTGTCAAAGCTTAAGTACGTGGCAGAAGTGAAGTAAGATTATTCTTTTTAGCAATGTTAAGGCTAAATATGTTTCTTTGTTTTACAAAGTTTCTTAATAAAGTGTTTGTTATACAATCTTACCTTGTTAATACTTTAGCCTACTTTACTTTTAAATGAAATGGCGACCTTACAAAGTAGGTATTTTAAGCCAAGTATGAATGGAGATGAGTGCAGGATGAGTGGTGCGATCTTGTAGTCTTGTTAGTGACTAAGGCCGACATATTCCTTAGACACAGCTGTTAGCCTAATTAAATAGCCTATACAGCTAATGGCAACTAAGGGACCTACAGTTAATTGTGGAATCCGAACCACATTTTTGCCTTTGGTATATATGAATTAGTCTAATTATCAGGATAGTACTGCGGATAGTCGTAGTACTCACCCTTGCGGATGTTAATCCACACCAGGGAGTATCGCATCCACAGTGCATGCCTATAAATATCCACAATTCGTGACCTAGTAGCTGGATTACAGGGCGACGCCACCCGTCTTACTAATACCTTACCTGGGGGAGCAAGCTGGTCTAGTGGTTAGAGCACGGGACTTCTGCCCCTGAGGTCCCGGGTTCAAATCCCACCAAATCACCAATAGATTTTATCCATGTGTTAGTGCCTCAACCCCTAGGTCCAGCCTGAAGTAATGTGAAAAACAATCCCAGGCTCGTGCCTAGTGTCCTAGGACAAAAAAAAAACTTTACTCCAAGATATTTTGTGTTTTACGAGAAACTGATAACACCCATTTTAACCTAAAACTATTTTGTATTGTAACATTTAAACATGATTTCTTTCGTTAGAGTAGTAAGTGAAGAACAAAGTCATAAAAGTTTCTTTATTGTAGTATTTTATTACTTTAATTCCACCAGTTCATAGAAATAAAACCGGAAATTTAAATTATATTTTAACAGAAACCTCAGTGTAAAATATTCGCCGACAGTTAATAATTATTAATTGTGGTACCCAAACTCAGTTATTCACAGCGTTATATTTACATTTTTATTACTTGTACAAAACTTGATGAAAAATGATTATTAAAACGTCTTACAACGTTTTAGTAGGGCGCACAGGGCTGGATAAAGTTCTCCGACAATGCTAAGATGTGATACAGTGAGGCGCTTAATCCCACATGACGCCTGCAAAATCTAAAACGCAACCCCGATCCAGTGGCCGATCCAGTTAGTTTTATACATCGATGGCTTCACCTTAATTACTATTGGTACATTGATGTGTTATTAATGCATAGCCTATATGTTTCAGATAAAATGTGGCGATCAGGATTTCTGTTTTCAAAGCAATGGAATTCTTTAAAACCTCTAAATCATTTTTATGGGAGAAGAAATGTGTCCTCGAGTGCATTTGCTTACCAAACGTTAAATCTTGAAACCCGTCAAAATGAACATGATTTTAAAGAAAATCAATCAATTGAAGGATTTACTGTCCAACAAATATCGCCAATACCAGAATTTCAGATGAGGGCAATACATCTTCTTCATGATGACACAGGTGCTCAGTATTTACATTTAGATAGGAATGATTCTAACAACGCATTTTCTATTAATTTACGAACAACCCCATTCGATTCAACTGGTGTTCCACATATATTAGAGCACACAACACTATGTGGAAGTAAGAAATATCCATGTAGAGATCCTTTTTTCAAAATGCTTAATAGATCTCTAGCAACATTCATGAATGCAATGACTGGTCCCGATTATACCCTGTACCCTTTCTCAACTCAAAATCACAAGGATTTTTATAATTTAATGTCTGTGTATATGGATGCTGTCTTCAACCCCCAGTTAAAAGAATCTGATTTTCGTCAAGAAGGTTGGAGATTAGAACATGAAATCGTAAACGATTCCAGCTCTCCCATAATATTCAAAGGTGTTGTTTTCAATGAAATGAAAGGTGCTTTATCTGAAAATTCCAAACTGTTTTATGAACATTTAATGAACAAGATTTTACCAAGCCATACCTACAGTGTCATATCTGGTGGTGACCCATTGCACATTCCTCAACTGACCTACAAACAACTAAAAGACTTTCATGCACGTTATTATCATCCCAGCAATGCAAGATTTTACTCATATGGTAATTTTTCACTTATAAACCATTTAAAGTTTGTAAATGAAGCTTATTTGAAGAACTACGGGAAAGTTGAAACAAGTTATTCTGAATTCACAAAAGTACCACAAGAAAAAAGGTGGTCATCTGAAAAAAGAGAAAGTGTTTTTGGTAAGGTTGATAATATGGCTTCTAATCCTGAGAAACAGTCCTCTCTTGCTCTAAGCTATTTGTGCAGTGATATAAAAGATATCAATGAATCATTTACAATACAAGTACTGTCTGAGCTGCTGACATCTGGACCAAATTCACCTTTTTATCAGAGTCTCGTGGAACCCAACGTTGGTTCTGGTTTCAGTCCTGTTACTGGGTTTGAAGGACAAACAAGAGACACTTTCTTTTCTGTCGGTTTGCAAGGGCTTAGTACAAAAGATTTTGATTGGGTTGTTGAAACCAGTGAAAAGACCATTGATAAAGTTATCAAAGAAGGATTTGATCAACGTCGCATTGAAGCCATACTACACGAAATTGAATTAACTACAAAACATCAGTCCACAGATTTTGGATTACGATTCCTATATGGTTTGACCTCATTATGGAATCATGATGGGGACATTATCAAATCGTTAAAAGTTAATGATATTGTTGATACCTTCAAGAGCAACTTGTCAAATAATCCTCATTATCTCCAAGAGAAAGTTGAAGAGTATTTAAAACAGAATCATCACAAACTCATCCTAACAATGTCTCCGGATGAGCAATATGATGAAAAGAAAATTAAGCTTGAAAATGACCTTCTACAGAACAAATTGGCTAGCTTGACATCGGAAATGAAAAAGACAATCTTCGAAGATGGGTTGCGATTACAAAAGGAGCAAGAAGAGAAGCAAAATGTTGATTGTCTGCCTACCTTAAAATCTGATGATTTAAAGAAACATGTTGAGAAAGATGAAGTTCAACAAACCGTTGTTTCTGATATACCAGTACACATCAGTTTGCAGCCAACTAATAGTTTGACTTATGTTAGAGGAATCCTAGACACTTCACACATCGAGAATGACTTAAAACCTTTCATTCCCTTATTTTCAAAAGTAGCCACTAAAATGGGTACCAAAAGTCATAACTATAAAGAATTTGATCAACTTGTACATTTGAAAACTGGAGGATTAAGCCTATCTCATCATATTGTCGAAAAGAAAGATGACCCAAACAGTTTTGAAGACGGAATAATGTTTTCTTCCTATGCTCTTGATACAAATGTTGAATCAATGTTTTCAATTTGGAATGAAATGTTCAATGAAGTAAAATTTGATGACAAAGGGAGATTAGAAACATTAATGAAATCAAATGCTGTCAATATGGTAAACAGACTTGCTGAACAGGGACATTTGTATGCAATGAGTGCATCTGCTGCTTTAGTCAACCCTGCCTCTCTCCGAAGTGAAGAAATCTCTGGATTACAGCATGTAAAATGGTTTTGTAATCTTGTTCAACAAAGTCAATATGAAATAATTCTCTCCAAGTTAGATTCAATTGCCAATAACTTATTTAGCAAGAGATTCATGAGGATAGCAGTAAATGCATCGCCTGAAAGTGAAGTTGCACTGAACTCAACCTTGGACTCTTTTATTAAGTCAATTCCAGGTTCTTTTGAAAAGCCTATCGTCACAGTGGACAATAATGGATATATTAAACCAAATAAATATGGTATTCATTATGAGTCTTCCCTTCCTGTAAGCTACACAAGCAAATCTATTCAGACTGTTCCATATCTACATAAAGATTACGCACCTCTTAGGATTCTCTGCAGATTACTATCTTCTAAATATCTTCTCCCAACCGTGAGAGAAAAGGGAGGAGCCTATGGCGCTGGAGCTCGACTTAATTCAGCCGGCGTGATATCTTTCTTCTCTTACAGGGACCCCAACCCTGCAAAAACCTTCAATGTATTTGATGCGTCATTAGATTGGTTGAACAAGAAAGAGTTTACAGGTAAAGACATTGAAGAAGCAAAGCTGGGTACTTTTCAAACTGTGGATGCACCAGTCCCTCCTGGTGCTCGAGGCACAAGACAGTTTCTGTATGGAATCAGCGATGAAGAATTTGCAAGACATCGCCTTGAACTGATGGCTGTTAAAGAAGAAGATGTCCTGAGAGTAGCATCAAAATACCTTGATCCAAGCTGCACCAGTTGTGAAGGTAGAGTATTATTTGGACCCAAAAACACAGAAGTATCAAAAAGACATGGTGAGCAGTGGAAATTGGAGCAGATTTAAAGACATAATGTTTGTACATAATTAAAAATAACTGAAAGTTGATAGATTCTGTACAAATGAGACTTTTTATAAATTTAGGTTTCATGTACAGTTTGTAAATACAATTTTTTTGTTATCTTGATTTTTTATTTCAAGCTCCATTGTCCATTTACTAGCACAATAAGATTGATAACTATTAACCAGTTATTTTTTTAGTACTAGTACTTATTTTGTTATCTGAAAATTCCTTCAATTTACCTCAAGTCTATCACATAAAAAACACAAGCTTAAATTTAAACAATTAGTAATTTAGGATTCTCTTGGGAGATTCAAGGTGTTATTAAATCAGTAATGTAGCATGTCAGCGTAAATATATCAGTGGCAGATAATAAATATACCCCTGCCACAGCAAGTCTGCAGACTAAGCGAACGGATTTCCATTTACCTGGCTGGATTTCTACAAAAATATTCTCTGAAAATGGTCAGATTTTTTCCTGTTTAAATAACATTATTTTAATGAGTACCTAGGTTTGCCTGCTACATGGAAGGTAGGTGATGTGTGTATAAAGGTCCTGAAATGCTGTGAAAAGATCTTCATTTCAGCTATTAAGACCTAAGATCTTGAATCAGTACCAGTGTACTTTCTGTTTGGGGTCCTCAAAGCCCTATAATTCACAGTTTTCTCAATCAATATCTATTATCCTATACTCTGATACGAGCTATGTCTGTCTGTAATATATATGTCGAAATCCAGCAGAAGGATTTTGAATAAGTTGTGTATTATTCCAGATCGAAATGAAGTTTTAAAAGGTCTTATATGCCTCCAAAGTTGAAATAGGTAGTTCGAATAAATAAACGAAATAGCTGGTTGATGCAATAAGCAGATGTTTTTTTATTATTTGAAATATTTTTTACTTTCTCCCCCAACAACAAAACAATACTTTATCCATATACTATGGTATAGACCATAGTATATGGATAAAGACAAGTATTGTTTTCGTCAAAGTGTTTGAGTTTTGAGTGGATATATTCGTTTTGGGTCCCGGGGGACCCAAAAAAGTGGTTTTCGAAGTGATGTCTGTCTGTGTGTGTCTGTATCTGTATGTGTGGATGTGTACATAGCTACAGACTATACCTGTGGTCCGACTTTGATGAAATTTGATATGTAGGTACTAATCCGTGGTATTTCCAGGCGTTTATTTTCATTTTTTTTATATATGTTGATTGTTAATGTTGATTTCCCATAAAATAACGGGAAAATCTGATCTTTCCAAAAATGGTCCGAACGATTTTAATAAAAAATTTGTACGTTGTGGCGGTTGTGACTCTTTAAATTCTGAACAAAATTGTATAACTCCCATTCCTGTAAAAATTTTGGTTAAAAAGTTATTGTAAATTATGTTATTTTTTCATAAAATAAGAGAAAATAGTATTTTCCGAAAAATCTAGATTTGATTGAATTTAGTATGTGATAATCCTTATAATTCTTAATAACCCATTCCTGTAAAAACTACGGTTCAAAATCATTGTAACTTCTGTTATTTTCCCATAAAACCCATGAAAAACGGAAAATTGATTTTAAAAAAACCCACATTCGTGTAAAAATTACGGTTCAAAAGTTAATGCAATATGGTGATTTTACCTATTAATCGTAGTAACTCGTTGCTTACCCATGATAAAATGTGGTTGACAAGCTAATGGGACAAAGCATGTGTCAGATTGCTGATGCATCTACCATTCCCCCTTCCAGTTGTTCTATTGACTGATTTGATATGTTGTAGTCTATATTTCTGTCTTATCTATATATATTAGCCCAAGTGAGTATTAAGAATAGTAAATATGTGCATGAGAGGTTGACTTAATTCTAAAGTGCAAGTAAAAGCCAAGATATAAGGTGGGTGATAGCGTGAGAATTTCCAAGTATAACCATGTATTTAGTAAAGGATATACCCCGAACTGGACAGGGGAGCTATTTACAATAGCAGAAGTCAAGAATACAAATCCTGTGACTTATATTTTAAAAGATGAAAATGGCAATATAATCAAGGGAGGATTCTATACAGAGGAGTTGTTAAAGACCAAGTATAAAGACGTGTATTTGGTAGAGAAGGTGATTAGGAGGAAGGATGATTTGTTGTATGTCAAATGGGAAATGGCTTGGACTCCCAAGTAGCCAGAATTCATGGATTTCCGCAAAGGATGTTGAGAAGCAAGCCTAAGGGAGCACGCAGCCAGGAGCGCGCCCGAGTTTGCGTGCAAATCACGCTCGATTATGAGAATATACATGTGAATGGGTGTGGATTTGAATTTGTAATGGAGTTGTACATTTGTATGGGCTTGTATAGGCCGAGAGCAAGTTTAAGAGGCATATCCTAAAAGACAAAGGAATGGCAATATTAAACAGCTCGTATGGCTAATATATATAGATAAGACAGAAATATAGACTACAACATATCAAATCAGTCAATAGAACAACTGGAAGGGGGAATGGTGGATGTACTAGCAATTAGGCATGGGGCGAGGGAGTTGCCCCAAAAACCTCGCGCCTCAAAAAATGGCGGTGACAACATATACTACTACACACCGCTGGAGATGAGAAGCGTGGGGAGCACGCCCGAGTTCTGGTGCAAATCTCACATGATTTTGAAAATATATGTTGATTTTTAATGTTAATGGAGTTGTATAGTAGTATAGGGGATCTATAGGCAAAGATCAGGATTTTTTGGTTTTGATGGATAAAAATGATCCCCATGTTATTCTTATGGGAAATAACTCCTAAAGAGGCGTCATACCGGCATATTGCCACTTCTGGATTTAGAAAATGCATGCTTTCAACACGGACTGTGTTGCGTGCTCACGTGGTGGTAGGTATTTATACACCTAATGAATAAAAAAAAAAAAAAAAAACTGATTATCCACTGGCTATTAAGTAAAATATTCTATCCATTTAAAATAATAGTTCTTAAGCGCAGCAACGCGCGCCGGGTAACTGCTAGTCCTCAATAAGAATAACATGGGAGTTTTAAATTTACAAATTTAATTAATTTAATTTCTTTATTTACCTGTCGCAATGCAGAGCCCGACCTCTTCATCCATGCCGCACTCCCTGGCCAAGGAAGTGGCTGGCTTCTCACGACCCACTGAGAATACCCTCGGCAGTGCAGAGCACACAACCGCTGCAACACAACTGGGGGTGGGGGCACTCCCAGTGAGAGCGTCTATCACTCTTTTAGTCGCCTCTTAGGACAATCCCGAGAAGGCTGCGGTCCTATTCTAGCCCGGTACCGAACGGGGAGGAATTTATATGGACTATTTGATTTGATCGATAGATTAGGCTACTTCCTTTTAGTGCGTTTGTCCTCCTCGTGGATCAGCTGAAGAATTGTGTAATGTTTTCCTCAGCTTTTTTAGAGATAGGCTAATCATATAATTTGAGTAGTTTTATTTCAGAGTGAGAGTACTCTTAATTTCGAGTAAATTTTAATCTTACTGATCAGAACTACCATTATGAAATAGGTACTATCATTCCAAGCTCTTACAATTCCAGACTAATGAAAACCCTACGAGCATCACAATCGAGTTAGAATTTATATATTATATAATATATATAATAATATTATATATTATATAATATTTTAGAATATAGTGCAAGAAGTATAAGTGTTATTATTTTGGTTAGATCCTAAACGGTTAGGGGTTCTAGCTAAACTATCTCCAAAAAGGCAACCAAAAATTATATGATTGTAAAGTTGCATGGTGAAAAATACACTTAGCTAAGCATGCTTCTTGTTCCTTTGTGGCTAAGTCAAGATGAAGAGGAAAGAGGAGAGGAGAGCGGTGCGCCACACGGAAGATTTCTAAGGTGCCGTTTGACGTCACTAACTGCTTGCGTCACCGTTCCACGCCGACACCGATTCGGAGTCGGCGCGAGCGTCGAGCTTGAGTCGAGTCTTGAGTCGGATCGGAACTCGCAACTCGGACGGAACCAGTGGAGAACTGACTGGAAAGTTTTGCACGTTCGTTGTTGTAAAATTAAGTCCATTTAATACGTTCTCTATTGTCATTCAGATCAATAGTTGAGTATTTTTAATAACACAAGGAAGAATACATGAAACGTCAATTAGATGCCATAATATCAAATTAGATTTAGCCTACAATAAATAAATAATCCTCCTGCAAGTTAAAATTGCAGCAAACCTGCAGACTCCATTTGCCTTGATTTTTACTTAAAATTGTCAGACTTATTTCCTATTAAAATAACATCAGCCTAATTCATTGTAATTAGTGAGTAGTTAGATTTGCTGCTACAGGGAAGGTATTGAGGTGTTTTTTTTATATTAAAATGTTGATATAGGCTAGTATGAAATAAACAATAAATTGACAAAAATGTAATAAGAACAAACAAACTAGGCCTACAACTTAAATTATATTCTCTATAAGAATAACATGGAAGTTTTAATTTCTACAGTTTTTTAAAATTATCTTTGTACGCTCCAATATACAAAATTAATTATTTTTTTAAGCTATACAAAATGGTTTGGAAAGAAATAATGAATTTTTTTGCGTTTAGGCTAAAAAATGGAAAAACCAAACCAATTTTTACTGTATAAAACCCCATTCCCATAGTCCCCTCATGTTGGTGTAGGTTTACATGTTTGTACCAAATTCAATCAAAATGGGATTTTGGCTTGATAGTCATCGCACTAACGGGCACACATATATATGAATTTTACGTAAATCGGTCCTGGGTCTTACCATGAGACCTGTGACGGTAATAGCTTATTCCCTATAAGAGAAATTTGCTAAACGGTTTAACGAAAATTTTACTTCAAGATAATACACTAACATCATTGAAGCAAGCATCTAATTATACTTAAATGTTCCAATAACATCTTAACAATTTCTTATCAAGATTTCATTGTTCCATCAGTTCACCTACAAATTTCAAATTAGGCTCTCTAAGTTTTAGCTAGAATCCCCATCGTTCTTTGCTATAAAGTCACTATAGGCTAGTGGTGGGAATCACCGAATGAAAATAACCGAATCAATCGGTTATTGATGCTGAATAGACTAATTCGGTTATTTTATCCTGGTTCGGTTAAATTAGTCTTACCGAGCGATTCGGTGATTTAGTTATTCAGTTTGTCACATCATCAGGAAACTAAAATTTATTCGGCGATTCGTTCAACTAAAAATCACGGATTGACGCTAAAAGACTAAATGGCATTCAGTTTCCCATAAGATAAAAATTACCGGTAGTTGTGCTTTGTGACAGTGAATAATGAGTAAAATTGATTCGGTGATTCATTCAACTAAAAATAACTGATTGATTATTCGGTCATGGAAACCATTCGGTTATCCCATCTAAGAGTAACTAAAAATTATTTAGATCATGCAGTTGTAAACATAGGCCTACCTGGGTTTCTGGATTGAGAAATAAAAATATCTAAGTTAACCATCAAATTATTACCAGCGAATCAGCCTCAACCACTCTGATTTTTATATTGGACGGTCGTTGACATAAAGCAAAGGCAGGACCCATGACGTCACACTAGTGGATAGATTCATGGATAAATTCATTGCCATATCCCATGTTTTAGGTAAATAAGCTGGCTGTTTGTCAGATTTTAATGGTAAGATTTTAGTACAACTATCCACCACTGAAAGCCTACATATTTCATGAGCAAGTTGAATCGTCAACCTTTTTAAACTTACTTGATACTTGTGTGCTGGACAATGTCGGATAGACTGCGTTATTATATATACGTTTAAAAATAAACACTACTATTTACATACATATAAACTTAATCAGGCTGTGGCGGTAAATAAAACGTGTTCCCCATTTTTTAAGGAAGGGCTTTTATATAACTTTTAGGGGCTCTTCACCCGAGTACAGTGGCCTATCTACCAAGCTATTTCTGATGGCTGCTTTAAAAGAGGTGATGTTCATGTCCCGCACCTTATCCAGGTTATCACCTTATACCTTAAACTAAACAATTAAAAAAACTTTCAAGCAACAGCTATGTCCTTGGTTGCCTTCTTCTTATAGTTGTCTGCAACATTGTTAAGATAAGAAACATTTATGTTGCTGCTTCTGTTGTAATTCTATTTGTCAACATCAAAAGCCTATGCCTATCACTCTATTACATACCAGATTGACTCAAAAGGAAATAAAAACAAAATTGTGCAAACATCTCTTTTGATACCTTTGAATTGGAGGAAGAGGAGCTTTTTTGGTTAAAAAAAATTTACATTATGGGACGGTTGGTGACGTCCTTTGGATATTAATAGGCAAGCACCGTGGATGCGATACTCCCTGGTGTGGATTAACATCCGCACGAGTGAGTACTACGACTATCCGCAGTACTATCCTGATAATTACGCCAATTTGTATATACCAAGGCAAAAATTTGGTTCGGATTCCACTATAAACTGTAGGCCGTCCCTTAGTTGCCATTAGCTGTATGGGCTATTAGTTAATAGCTGTGTCTAAGAATGTCGGCCTTAAGTCACTAACAAGACTACAAGATTGTGTCAATCATTCTACACTCATCTCCATTCATACTTGGCTAAAAATACCTATTTTGTATGTTCACAATTTCATTGAAAAGTATAAAAACTATAAAGTATTTCCCTTCTTTAGAGAGCTCAAGAATTTCATATTTTGGTAGAAAAGAGATAAAAAACATTCTATCATAAATGAGCTTATCTTGTGATTTTCTAAATCCTTTTTGCATTCTAACACAGGTACCAATTTTCTGCTTAAAGAATTTGATTTAAAAACTGATTCGAGGCAAGAATAATTAAACTCAGTACCAGATTAAATTACTTTCGATTGAGAGCAAGTGATGTAAGGTTCAAATTCAGTATTTCTTTAGTAACCAGTTGACAAAAATATCAAACTGGGAATGAAAACATCTTCTAAACTTGAAAAGTTTATTATAGTATTATTATCATGTCAATTCTGAAGTAAATATAATTAAGTAATTAAATACAAACATTAGATGGAGTCACACACAAAGCTTGGCTTTGGGCCTCAACATCAGTAAATTCGGCCCTAAATTGGACTGGATCGCAATATGATACCTTTTCAAGGAAAAAATAAACACAAGTATAGCAGTCCTTTATACTACAGTTAGTTTATAATTCAAAAACATGAATTAATAGAATACACAACATGTGCATTATAAATTATACATACATATAACTTCCAGTAAATTACCATACTATTGCAGTGTCAAATTGTACATCCTTTAACCAAGAAGTATAACTCAAGAACTGAATTATGGTGAAATTACAAATAAAAGGATTAATTTTTTTATGAAGCGCATGATATGATGAACCTCTTCATTGCGGCTAAAACCCGCCAAAAAGGAAAAGCTATCTACCACGTCGTAGTTACAATTTCAGTGGAACCAAGCATAATCCAAGTATCCAAGCATATGTGTCAAACGAAAATTAGGCCATGACCTGAAACAAAAAAGAATTAATAGTTCCCTTGTCAGACATATACATCTTTAATGATTTTATATACATTTCAGTAAAAACTGAGAAAAAATATTCTTTAACACATTGACTACCAGCAGGCACAGTGACCTGTAGCTTGGGAGGGAACATGTTAAGTGTAGCAAATTGACTGACTGACTGACTTCGCTCATATTAGCCTACACAACAGACATGTTCAAAATCAAAATTTTATTAGGCCATTCAACATGCAAGTAATTAGGCTAGGTCAAAAATTTACAAATAATAATCCTCTTTGGCACTCTTGATGTACACTAATCAGTCCAAGTTAATAATACCCCCGCCGCAGCAAACCTGCAGACTAAGCGAATTTCAACTTGTCTGATAACGTTTGTACAAAAAGTTTCCATAAATAAGACACATTTATCCCCTAGATTTAATGAGTGCTTAGGTTTGCTGCTACTGGGAAGGTAAAAAGTGTTTTTTGACCACACGTCATTATTATAGGATGAAAGAAATAAATTTGCCAAATTTTATAACATATATCCATAAACAAGTAAACTACAACAGTTTAATTTTATTCCATAAGAATAACATGGAAATTAATTTGATCTAATGGTGTTTTTTGGCCTCTGGGACCTCAAAACAAAAAAGTAAATCGGTCCCGGGTCCAGGTCTTACCATGAGTACTACGGTAATAGCTTATTCCCTATATGGGAAATTCGCTAAAAAAGAAATCATGCACAAACACCATGCAGAAAAACATTAAAACATATCAAAAAATAAGAAAAAAAAAAAATTGATACCTAACATGCAAGAACAGGCTGCTATATAATTACTTTATACAAGTCCAATTATCATCAGTGAGAAATCAGTTTCATTATACTGTACTCACTCAGGCTATAGCCTAGAAAGGATTTTCTAGAAGCCAGGTTTTAACAATTTAACAATTTTTGGACTTGGCAGCCGTCCAGTAGGCTACTTTGTCAACCCTGCATCTAGATAGGTACATGCAGATTGCCACAATATCTAGTGGAATAGTTGAACACATCTGAGCTGTGAGTATAAACATGCTCAATTGATGTAATCGCTAAAAGACACTGAAATAAAAATACATTACATACAGTCAAAATCTGGCAAGCCTTAAATATCTGGCAGACAAGAGTATGGTATTACAAAGCCTTTATCATTTTGTTGCCATAAGTATAGTATTACTGTATGACTGTATCAGCCCTGAACTTGTTAAAGATAAGTTATATTGTCACCTAACTAAAGGACTGTTCTTAAAATTACATTAAAAAACACAGGACATGTTTGCTTACAAAATGAAAATAATTAAGGCCTAATTTACAAACAAATCAAGGATATTATAGGCCAATTAGGATTTTTGCGGACATTTGCCATCACAATGTAGTAAAAACAGAGTGTAGTACGGTAAATTTTGTTTCTACTAATCCTTTATGGCAAATGCAAATGTCCACGAAAATCTAGGTTGCCATTTCTTAATGTTGGCCTATAATTAAAAATTATTTTATCTACGACCAGACTAATAATGATATTGCAAGTAAGATCACAAAGAACATTACAAAACCAAAAACAAACCAGTTAGGTAATGTTAACATTACATTACGGGGGTCACTTTACATTATTGGATCTAGACCAATGAGAGCTCGGCATTTGACAGATGTGTCCATATAAATTATTCAGGATATTAGGCCTACTGTGTTATGTCACAATTAGTAAGTATATTTAAATTAGTAATTCGTCAACTTACCCTTAAACTTAGCTTCAACCCTCAAAATCTTCTTGGGGACAATGGGACTAGGGCAAAAAATCAAGAAGATTTTTTATGACAGTTTCTTTCTTCTCTTTACAGTCTGCAGGTTTCCTTTTCCTTTTACTAACTGGCCTCTTAAATGATAAAAGTTGGGATACTTGGGTCTTGAGTTTCTCTTGCGAATTGAACTTAACCGCAGCTTTCATCTCATTTACGTTTACAAGTTGACTTTTACCATCCGACATCTGAATGTGATTAACTAAGTTGGTCAGTGTATAATTTACATGCCTCAATGTTTGTTCACTGACTTTATTGTCTATTGCAGACATCTGGAACTGTGAAAGAGTAGATAAGTTCTGCTCTATTTTGGCCAGTAGAGAGCTTGACTTCCTAGCAGCCATGTTCTCAGTAGTTGACCTTTTATCTAGATCAGCCTGATCTTCAATTGGTTGAAGACTCTCTTCAAAGCTACAAAAAGTTGTGGAGAAGGCTTTTCCTCTACGAAGATAGGAATGCAATTTGTGTATATGTTTGCACAGTGAATGCTGGTCAGGGCAAGTACAAGTATATAAATGTGAGCAGAGGCCATCACACTGTACTTGAGTGCACTTGACAAAACAGTAGTCTTCATAGCATGTATTACTGTAACATACTATCACATACACTTCGCTTTCTTTTGTCTGGGATTTTATTTCCCATGTATTGGCCAAGATTTCCACCAAGGCTTCATCAGGTATAGCCAGTGACTTCTGGTGGCGTTCCCCAATATGTTGAGGGATTGGTGAAAATCCCACCAAAGCTTCTCGTTGGCGGTTACAATGGTCTTCCCATTCTAGGTTGCGCAGCATTGTTATGAGGTCATCCAACCTTTTGTTAACTCTCCTTTTGAGGTACATTTTTTTAAACTTATTATGGAAGGACTCTACATGACCTGTTGTGTTTACCTGAGCATGGGGGAAGTTCCGGTGGCACATTGCCCATTTTTCTGTTCGGTTCAGATAGTGCTGTCTGAAATAAGTTATGAACTTTGCAGTTTTATCTTTTTCTTCGTACTTTTTTAAGAACCCTTCACACAAATCTTCAAACATATTGAGGTCTTCAATGTTCATTAGAACTCTTATTTCACTAAATACATCCTCAAACAGATCTTTAGGGACTTTGGTTCTTACATTATCCTTTAAGTTTTTAATTACATGCCAACGGCATAGTAGGTGGCGCATAGGAGAAGAAAAACCTGCTTCAATGCCATTGATAATGGCACTGTCATCATCAGTAATGACACAATTGATGCGACTTGGATCTTCAATTCTTTCACTAAGACCCTTAAAGAAAAATTTTAGTGTGGCAGCATCTGATTTGTTTGTAACCAAATGGGCTACTGGCCAGCCTCTTCTGTTGTCATCAACTACCATGCATGTCAGCAACTTATAGGAATACTGGTTGGTTCCATGAGTTTCGTCTACGATTAAAATTTTGTTGCAATGGTCTTTCATCAACTGTAATTGTCTGGGAGTTTGGAAGCCAAACATGAAAATTTCCATTGAGTAAGGGAGGTTGTTGACATCTTCTGGGCCATACACCACATCTGCTCCATAAGGCTTATAAATGACGACCGAGTTTTCTTTAGATACCATTTCACTGGCCATTAAGTAGACAGATTTTGCGTCATCTTCATGGAGTCTTTGTGCCATCCGTTGCCTTCGTGCTCTCTCCCTGATTCTTTTCTTGGTGAGAATGTTCACTTTTTGTGTCTGCACATCTCTACTCTTGTCAATATTTATGTTTTTGACTTTATTAAAGATCTTGGAAGGAGAAACTTCTTCTCCTAGCTGACAATTTATAAATGAGCTTAAATCTTGAGGTAAGGGATGGTGAAGGTAGTCCTGGGGACTGCACACGTGGCTATGTGTCGGATGATAAATTACACTAACTAGATCCGTTAAATTATTCCTGCAAACCTTCATCTGGGCAATGCAAAAGTGTCCAATCTTTACTCTTCCTTTTGAGTTTCTCCTACTTGTTTTCCTAGGGGTGTGGACTTTGGCTGCCCCATCATGCTGGCAGTAAAAAGTTGTTGTGAACCCCGATAGGCAATTTTTTTTGCTAAAAAAAGAAAAAGTTCTTTCTTCTTCATTGTCTTTCCATTTTAAAAATTCTTCTTCACTGCTAAACTCAAGTTTAATTGGGGGCTTTACTTTTATTAGGTCACTATGAGCAGTTTGAAGATGTTCAATTAATCTTAGTTTATGAAAAAATTGTTTGTTACATTCTGGGATCATACAAGGAGTTTTCAGTTTTTTTGAAGGTTCTTCCTTGTTTTCGACATTTGAACAAGATGTAACGTGAACTTTTAAATTATCTTTTCGACTGAAGGTCACTAGGCAGATGGGACATGAAAATTTATTTTCAGTTCTATTTATATTGTTCTTGCAAATCTTTTCATGGCGATTACAACTTTTCTTCTGAGAAAAGTGTTTACTACAAAAACTACACTTAACTTTTCCTTCATTTTGAATTTCAATAGACTTGTCAATAGCATCCATTGTTGAATATGATATACGTAGCACGTCAAAAAATAACAAATTAACAACGATCCTCTTGGGTCATCTTGACTTACAATACAGTCCAAGTAAATAAAAAGAAAAACATGCACAAACACCATGCAGAAAACACTAAATACCATGCAGAAAAAAGATAAATACTGAACAGAAGAAAGAAGTACATGCAAGAACCGCCATACAACCACTTAATTCAAGCCCAAGTCTCAAGTTAGACAATAGAAATCTCTTCGAACCTCAGTTGGTGGCATCAGGCACGTATCTTGGATACTCAGACCCTGCAAAAAACATATGATATTAATAGTTAGGCTACATACAGTAATAATATATTTACAATATATTATGTTGTTAAAGACAAAATATCCTTAACAAGACATTATTTATTGGAATTGTAACGCCGGTAACATGTCCCCAGTACGGTCTTGGTTCACTCAAAAAAACTTATGTATAACGCCTTTAAATTTGTTCTCCACACTGTAGCACCAGTTCCATGTCAGTTGTGAGTGGGATGCCAGTGAGTCCGCTGTGCGTGTGCTCAGAATTCATCTAACTTACTTAGGCTACTGATAAGTAATAATTTATAAAATACTTGAATAAACAAGTGTTTATGTTTTTATACTGTAGCATCGGTCGCGAAAAGTAAAACCACAATGATAAACAGTCAAATGTTGATATTGCTTCAATAAAATATAAAATATGCTGGTAGACAGGTTTTCAAGAAACCATTATGATGATCCTGGCATTTTTTTTCCGTACAGTAAATAATAATTTTTCATCATGATGTAGCGCTGGTCAAATAACAAGCGACTGGCCCTACTATATTGGCGCATCCATATACTCAATATGCGAGACAGATCTTGCAAATATGCATAGTAATTTGTCTAACTTGCTTGCATTAGCAATAAAAAAAGTTTCAAAAAAATATTTTTGGCCTACTAAAAATAGGCCTTTTTTTATTTCAGTTTGTAAATTCAACCAACAATGTTTTCACCCACTAATTTAATTTTAAAATTAAATACGTATGTCTAAGTGGTCTTCAATTTGAATATCTTTTGGAGACAAATGAAGTATGGTATTCTAGTTAGGATAAGAAATCAGAAATCTTTTAGTTAAGAAAAACTGTACAGTATTAGTTTCCCATCACAATAGCCTGACCACTCTTGATCCAATATACGCCTAAGCCTACAGTAGGCCTACCTACTTATTATCTGAGGAAAATGATGAATGCTGATTGATAGGCCTACTGATATCCTGCAACCACACATAAATTGAATTAAAGCTTAAGACTACATACAACATGAACAGTTTCGTAGATATGCCTAAATACAGTAAACAATCAATTTAAACCTAACATAAATAAGATAAAGTCAGTCTTATTAAATTTACCCATGTCAGTTAATAGGTCGGTACAAAAAAAACCAGTAGCTTTTAAGGTCCGTGAAGTTAGCGTATCCACTTTGGTTCATAAGTTAGGAATTGTTAGTTCTAGATAGTTCCCCAATATTTTTATTACACTAGTCCTCATTAAATAAATAAGTTAATTTAACTTATAATAGATGATAATAAATGAGTACGCTAACTTAACTTCATACTTCCAGTTTCTAGCGCAGAACGTTTTATGATGAAAAATGCCTAAGTTACATCTAAATAGCAATCGCTCCATTCTTTGTTTCCTGTTCTTTGTTAACTCTCCAATATTGTTGATAACTTAAATAACTTAGTTCTCCAAAAATAAAAAGGGGAAAGGTAGCGTAGTCACATAGGCTAACTTTTTTTACATTAAGTTAATGCGGCCTACTGTAAATGAGGGAGGTTAAGGAGTGTGCCTCAGATGAAGAAGTAAGTTACAGTTAGCTTTCGCCTAGCCTATTCCTTTCCATTTTAAGCTAAGACTGAATACTTAGGTACTTAACTTACTTACTTGAATACCGTACTCGAGTTCTTCATCTTTGACAGAACTAGTCTGATGGATTGCGTTTAAATAATAATTAATAGGTAATAAAAAACTATGTAGAAGCCTACATTATTGTACAGTACCCAGGCCGGGTACAGTTTCTTAACTGGGCTATGCTAATATCGATTGGAACTATCGAATTGAAATATTGATGAATAATCGATATTTCAAAACACAGTATATCTATTATAAAATTAATCTATCATAACCTAACCAACCAAACTTGTTGATGGTGAAAAAATCGCATGAAAACTTACTGATCGAATCGATTGTTTCAATCGATATTAGCGTAGCCCAGTTAAGAAACTGTACCCCTTAGGCCTAATTACTGAGTCACCCTTAAACTTTTACTTGGCCGTTTACTAATTTGCAATTTAATAATTGACAAGGAAATGTCAATAATTAAACTAAGTTTAGTTTAATTATTACATCAAACTTTACTGAAACAGAGCACTAATTTCTTACGCTTGGCTTCTTCTAAATAATAGGTACTTACCACTAAGGAAGGAAGGATGAAGGATTTTACTCGCCGGTGTGGCAAACGCAAACACAAACACAATGGCTTAGAAAGAAAAGCTACTTTAACTGTAGGAAGATTATAAAATACTTGAATAAACAGGTGTTTATGTTTTTATACTGTAGCATCGGTCGCGAAAAGTAAAGCCACAATGATAAACAGTCAAATGTAGGTAAGGTAGCTGTCAGTCAGAGTCAAGTCAAACTGTGTCTCGTCTCGGAGGAGTCGCTATTGGAGTCGCTCGCTAATAGCGACTCCTAACGTCTCGGTCTCGTTCTTGTTCTTCTGCCTCTTCCGACGCAGCAGTTAGTGACGTCAGCAAATAGTGACGTCAAACGGCACCTTAGAAATCTACCGTGTGGCGCACCGAGAGGAGAGGAGAGAGAAGAGAAGAGAAGACTGCAAAATCCAAGATGAAAATAAATAATGATTGACGACAAAAGGCAAAAAAGTAAAAAGTGTATTTTATTTGAAAACGAAAACTAAAAAAACTGACAACCTACACTGACACTGGACACTATTAAGTCTTGTTACTAGTTTTGCTTTGTATTTTAGCCGTTTCTTTAAGAATCTCGATCTGTCGATTAAGTGTAAATGTAACAGATGTTCTAAACATGTTTTAGGAAGGTTTCTTGGTTATAACAACTTGGAATTGTAAAATAACCTCCCATAAGGTACTTCTGATAATTTTAACTTTGAACCATGGCAGGATTCAGCTTTGGGGCGCCAACAACATCAGCACCATCCTTTTCCCTTGGAGGAAACACGTTAGTAGAATATTTATTTACAGGATTAATTTAACGAGCAATGAACATAGGTAGGTAGGCACCTAAGTTAGCCTACCCTAATTTAAATCTTGTAGGCCTAGGCCTAGGCCTATGTTAGTTCTTTCAGATCTTGGCTAGAGATGGGTCAAGTCACAGTTCTAATAAAAAAAGGGTATGTCAGGCTATACTTCGGCCGCTTAGAAAGCGAACTGCGTGCTAATGCTAACCAAGGCTGTGATACACCAGGTACTAAATTTTTTGAATCCAATAAGTAAGTTAATCTGTTTCTAAATCCCAAGTCGGCTTTCGAGGGGGCCTGTCAACTATGGACGCAGTTGGTAGCCTTGTTGCTGCTTAAAATGGTTTTGAAAAGCATGAAAGCACACTCACCACCATGTGTGACCTTTCTAATGCTTTCGACTGTGTTCCGCACGACATACTTTTCACAAAAACTTGAACAATACAGCATAAGTTAAGAGGTGTGGAGCTAAACATTTTTCGGACCTATTTGTTTAACCGCACACATAAAGTCTTGTACAATAAGTTCTCTGAGGGGACGGTAATGAAGAGTGGCGTGCCCCAGGGATCGGTCCTTGGCCCATTTCCATTCTTAGTTGTAATTAATGACTTGCGTCTTAATGTTAATTGTAATTCCATAATTTTTGCTGATGATTCAACTTTTTTCTGCAGTAGACCTAATCACAGTTTAAGTTAGATAACCTTAATGTTCATATGATCAAGTGTCTCATTGAATATAACGATTGGTTCAAAAGTGGCGGTTTTCTATTGAATAGGCCTAATAGACTCAATCTATTCTATTTAGGCCTAGTTTATGTAACCATGATTCAAATTTTTCTCAACTCTGTATGATAAATAACTTCTTGATCAGCATTGTACGTGTTATTAAATTACCGGAAAGTAAATAAAAGAAACGTCTTATAACACTTAAAACATATATTTACGCTTATACTGTTACTCACAAGACGGTAAATATACAAAAACGATGGTAAGTGGTGATCGATTTCGATTGGACACTCCAATCATCATCAGACCCAATAGGCGAATCTCCTTCGCGAATTCACATTCGCCTATTGGGTCTGATGATGATTGGAGTGTCCAATCGAAATCGATCACCACTTAACATCGTTTTTGTATATTTACCGTCTTGTGAGTAACAGTATAAGCGTAAATATAT